TATACATATATACATATATATGTGTGTATATATATATATATGTATATATATATATATTTATATATATATATATATATATATATATATATACACATACATATATTCCATCCATTGTCATTGGTGGTAAAATATATATATACACACATATAAACATATATGTATATATGTATATGTGTGTGTATATATATATATATATATATATATTTCACCACCAATGACTTGACCCTTAGCTCATCCAACTGTTGAACCCTCGTCACACGATTAGGTACAAAAGGCCAATTTACAACATGGAATTCGATTGGTCTTCTTTAACTCGTGAGACATCGAAGGATTGTGTGATCTGCCCGAGTTGCACTGATATTTAGTTGAAGTCACAGATACAACAAAGACTCTATTCTGCTCTTCAAAGCCACAGTTCAGTTCAGCTCCTGAGGTTCATCTCAGCCACGTTCTAAAACAATCATGTGCTCATTAATAGAGAGCTTTTTACTCTTGAGGTCAACAGAATGTCACCATTAGTCCAATTAGTCCTTTGTTCTTCACGTTTAACTGAAATGACCTGATGAAAAAGAGTGAGCTAGAATCTGTAGCCTTGCAGAGAAAAAGTTATTAAACATTTTTATCTTTTTCTTTTTTTGGGGGGGGAGGGTGGTACCGATATTGTAACCTGCTGCTGATAAAAATCAGAAATGGTTTTCATCATCAACATGAGCCCATGAGGATTTGTGGAGTGTGGTTCAACCTTGCAGATTCATCTCAATTTATTTGTGACACCATGTGAATCACTTGGGCGGGGAAAAAAAAAAAGTCAAAGACATCCAAGGAATTCCAAATCTGAAGCAATAGTTTACAATAACAGGCTAATTTTAGCCACATGTTGCGGTTGCTCAGTGATCCCATTCCTCAGGTTTTCTTTCACAACTGGGTTATTTATCTGCAAAAACCTGTTGTTCATTCCACTGTGGGCTCTGTTTATGGCTGTGTGGGATATTTGAGGGGTAGTAAATTGAGTTAGTGTGGAGTTAAACCAAGTCAACCAAGCAAACGTTTTCATTTTGTTGGACAGAAGTGAGGATTGAGCCTGGGCTTCTTGCTTCCTGTGGGAAAATAGACAAGGAATTTGTCCAGCTGTTCATTGTATTCCCAGTTTGTCTCACTCTGTTTATTCGTCTGTTTTTGTTGTTTTTTTTCTCAGAGAACACGACGGTCCCTAACTTACATGAAGTGAAGGACAATATGACCATGGGAACCACACTGGTGACCAATCCCAACGGAGGATTCCTGGTGAGGAGGAAGTTGCTCTTCATCCTATATGTACATTTTCCATACTGAACTTAAAAGCAGGTCTGAACTTTACATATTTCCCCCTTGTTCTCTTGGCCTTTGCACTGAAAGAAAACAGTGGGGCGGAATTAGCCTCCATGTTTAACAGTGAGAGCTCACGTCCTGGGAATGTAACAGGATACTGTAAATTAGGTGTGTAATATATTAGTACGTGACTATGAGATTAGCAGGGTGTGTAAATAACAGAAACTGTGGACACAGTCTAATGTGGTTAACATGGATGGTAAACTAGCTCTTCCCTATTGTTTACACTGCAATTTCAAACCCCTTAACGTTAATGTAAAACATCTGACATTGGTAGCAATCAACGTGATGTGATTAGCATGCAGCTGATGTACAACTCAGTCCTGGTGAATTTCCCCAGAGGCTGAAATCAGCCTTTTCTTTGGTTACTCTAGTACGAGACTAAAATGAATCTGTACGAGATGGATTGGCAGAAAATTAGGTACAGATAGTGATGGTGACAAGACTAATTATAGGCACGTTTTGTGTTATTTGAAGACTGTTTTACATGGAATACAGTGCTGTGAGAAGGCGGCAGGAGCGGCTGAGAAGCATGTGATTGTGGTGCAAGAACAGCAGTATGTGCTGTGACAGATACCGTAGTTTAAAGTGTGGTTTACCATCAAGCATGTGATTGTGGTGCAAGAACAGCCATTGTGATGGACAATGTGTCAGACTCAAATCACTTCATTCATTAGCCGCATGTTTAACTCTTTTTTATGAAATACTTATTGTTGTAAAATTTGTTTTACCAAAGTGCAGGATGGAATAAATTAATCTTGTAATCGTGTTTTTTTTTCAATCTCAGCAACAGCTTTATTACTGATATTTTTGGCTGAGCATGCATCTTCACATTCATAAAAAAAGTCTTTGGTGGTTCCAATAATGATGCAGACTTTAATGAAATACATCCTTGAAATGTGTCCTTGAAGGTTTAGAAGTACCTTGTGTTTTATACCAGTTAGAAAGGCCTGATGAGGCCTCTGTGGTCAGAGGTGAACTCTCCGATGTTTTATACCAGTTAGAAAGGCCTGATAAGGCGTCTGTGGTCAGAGGTGAACAGACACCGTTCTTCAGGTCTCTTCTGCTGAACTCCTGAGAGGAGAAATGAGTTTGATGACTGTGCTGACAATAACTGAAGGAACAATGTTGTGAATAGTGTTCAAGATGTATTTAAAATGAGACACTCTCATGGCCATAAAGCTACAGGAATGTCTGTAAATCCATATCCATGTTATTTTTCTTGACATTATTCTTAATAACTCCTAAACGCATACATTTGTAAAAGTTCATGCTGTGATAAAAACCCACAAAGCTTTTACATAGTTTTTGTAAGTGTTCCAGCAGTGTTCCTGCCCATTTCTGTAAAACACTAAGTATGTAATTCATCTGGGGAAAGTAGGGAAATGGGGCTAAAAGATTAAATCGATATTTTTTCAATTTTCCATTTACTGAGGGCAATTTTAAAGCCCTAGACCCACACAGGAACTCTTTCTTCGCTGGTCCTTTTCAAACAGTGAATCTGGTTTAAAATAGTCTCAGCTGCTCCTCACGTTGACTCGTTCTTTCCTCTCGGTCTCTGTCTTCAGCAGCGCTGCATCTCTTCTCATCCATGACCTCACACTGGTGGAAACCGAACTATTAATATCCTGTAAATTTTACTGTCTCAGTTTGTTTGTATATGTGTGTGTGTGTCCTGTCTCCACAGGCCTGTGGTCCTCAGTACGGCTACATGTGCGGCCATCAGCAGTACATCTCAGGAGTCTGCGCTAACGTCAGCTCTTCCTTCCAGATCCTCAACTCTGTAGCACCGGGGGTGCAAGGTACGCAGAGAGGGAAAGTGAAAGAGAAAGAGAGAGGAGGGAATTTGTTTCTCAGGATGTTACTACGACTGCACGCAGACTGCTTGTCCGAGATAAGAGATTATAATCTCATCACACAGTGTTAGCTACCACCCATCTACCCTGGCATTAACATCGCCCTCCCTAGGAGAAGATTAGAGCGTTCTTCTCAATGTAAACTCGTCTGTGACGCTACCGCTCCGTGGACGCCCAGCCCTTCTGCTGTGCTGCGTTTGACCAAGTTAGGACACAGTTCACTGAGACTCTACTCTGTGTCCTCAGAAGGAAACAATGTAGCAATCTTGTTTAGCCTCTTCGCTAAACAGTCAATATTTCAATATGTCTATTTCACGTTTCTCTGTCGATGACGAAATGTCTGGAATTATAACGTGAGTCTAGTCAGACATGAGGTCGATGACGAAATGTCTGGAATTATAATGTGAGTCTAGTCAGACATGAGTTGTGTTTTATATGAAGGTTTACGTACAATTTAAAAATACTGTCGACTCCTACTGTAAAGAATGTGTAAATACATTCCTACACAGAATGTTTAATTATAATAATGGTTTTAGTAAAAACAACACAAACGACTGAACATTTAAATGTGTTCAGTCAAAGATAAACTTTTTTTTTGTATATGTCTGATCAAGGGTCGTTACTACTGTGGGTCTTGGCACGACAGGAAGTGGTAGCTGCACTGGTTGTGGTCGTTCTTTCCTGCTCATCAACCTCAGCCAGATTAAATGCAGTTTACAAAAATGATTTGGGACAGAGCACATAATCTACTTGTCCAAGTTGTGCAACAAGGATGCATTACTGTCGAACCGTCATCAACAGCTGGGGAACAGATATTCAATTTGTATTTTTTTTATTTTTGTATGGCTCCACCTTTTGGTATGGCGTCAGTATAAGGTCTGGATTTTCTCTGAATGATTTAGATTTAATGAAGGATCTTGGTTCCTCATACTGTAGGTGTGAATGTGAGTGTGAATCATTTTACCTTTTAACTCGTGTAAGAGGAAGTTAAACCCAAGATTCAAGCTTTTTTTCAAGTTAACTCTGAAATCTGTCTTTTTTTTTTTTTTTTCAGAGTGTGCGCGAAGGAGCTGGATATCGTAATGGTGTTGGATGGATCCAACAGTATCTACCCCTGGAACAGTATCATTGATTTTCTACAGCGTTTCATTGAGAACATTGTGATTGGCCCCAAACTGTCACAGGTCAGTTAATTAAAGACCAGTAGATGTTGTCTACTGCCACTCAGTCATTGGGTGAGGGTGGGGTGGAGTTTACCACAGCGCCACATGTGGACAGGCAAACATTCACACCTATGGTCAATGTCAAGTAAACAATGAGCCTAAACCCAAACACACATGGGGGAATTGAACCAGTGATATTCTGACTGTAAGACAGGAGCATTAATCACTCTTCCACTGTGTGGGCCTTACACTTGAAGTATTTTAAAAAAATGGGATAAATAAAAATATATTCTATTCATCGACTTCCTTCTAATTTTTTATGTCATAATAATGACATTAAATATGGAATTCTCCCTTTAAAAACAGCAGCCATCATTATAACTGACTTTAAATACAGCCCTAATGGACAGTCATCCTCTTAGTCCTTGAAGTCGTTTTAACCTTTGAGTCATACCTTGAGTTTATTTTTAGTCGCCTCTCCCTTTAAAAAGCCGCTGCTTTTCTATGTTTTGAATCTTGGTTTGAGCGATCTGACCAGCAGCACGTGGAGTTTTCCAGTGGGGAAACACTGGAAAACTCTTCTCCCTCTGTTGCCAAGTGGTTACAAGTCACATCTTCCACGGCTGCTGAAGCTCTCTGCCTGCTGTTTAGAGAGAGTCGTCTCATATTAAAGCCACCAGAGCCGACCGCATCATCATCATCATCATCATCATCATCATCATCATCATCAGCAGACTGTCTGGGAGGAGAACAGGGGCAGGGACCTGAACACTGATGAAGAGTACAGTCAACGTTACAGTAAAGACTGTCGGTGTCTGTGTGTGAATTCTTTCAGGTGGGAATCGTGTCCTACGGTGAGACTGTGACCCACAGGGTCAACCTTAGTCAGTTTGACAACACATTGGATCTGCTGGAGTTTGTCAAAGACCTTCCTCAGCAGACGGGGTTCAAGACCATGACCTTCAAGGGCATTGACACTGCCAGGTACCAAACACCAGCGGCAGATTTTAGTAGGTTTTAGTAGATTATGTCAAATCACCAGGGATTTTTACTAAATTCAGATTATCATCTTAAAACTGTATGAACAAAGATGGATTCTGTATGAGACACACACACACACACACCCAGACACACACCCAGACACACCTCTGCCCTCTTGGGTATTTAATTAAAAAGTAAGTTTTAGCATCAAAACCCCTACAATTTCAGCTCCAGCGGTTGCTGATACACTGCTGCTAAATTTAGTGTGTGTCAATTCAGTAAATCCAAACAAAAGTATAAAACACTGCAGTCACAAAATTACACGTCTGAATGTATTCATTATGCAGCTGTTGCTCAAAAACCCATTACCTAAAATTGCTCATTTTGTCTATGGGCCCTGGTGTCAGAAGGTGGGTAGTGCACACAGCTCGATTAGCTTCAGGTTTTTATTTTTAATTTATATTAAAGGCCACACATTAACTATTTTATTTTTGTCCTTAGTTCTTTCTTTTTTATGAGCACCACTAGAAAAACAAAACTATATGTTTGGGCTAAGTAAAAAGTAAGAAAGTAAGTTAAAAAGTAAGACATTTAAAAAGATGTCAGTTTTTAATAATTAAAACATGTTCAGACTTTTTACCATTAAATCACTGTCAGCTGTTTCCTATTCATTTTTTTTTTCTTAAAACTGAAGAATATTTTAAGCGTATTCTCTGATGGAAACTTTTAAAAGTGTGAGGACCAACATGAAGATACGTAGAGAAATAGCTTTGTTATTGTCATAATTAACCTTTTGACTTTGCCACTGTGATTTGCCGATGCAAAGTTAAACCCTGTGACCTCTAACAGTGTTAGACTGTGGCTGGAACACATTACATTTAGACCCTAAATGAGCTGAAGGCAGTAAAAATAGAACCTGATAAGGAGGAAGAAATGAGCCAAACATGTCTTAACAATTTGTATGTGGAAACTAATTTATTCAATCAGACGGATAAACCGAGACCAGTGAGAACTGAGGAGTAAATGAACAGTTTCACCGTGTAGCTGCGTGTGAGCGAAACATTTCGGAGGAAAACATTTCAAATCAGCCAGAGTTTAGTTGAACTAAATCTTCTGAACAAATTTGTTACAATGTTACATCTCATTTAGGGAAGTGTCCTGTGTGTAATAAATGAGACTCTGTGGCCTTAACAGTAGTTTCCACCCGTGTAGGAAAGAAGCCTTCATGCCTGAGCGTGGTGCACGACCTGGGGTGAAGAAGGTCATGGTGATAGTCACTGACGGTGAGTCACATGACTTTCACAATCTGGACAGTGTCATGAAGGACTGCGATGACGACGGCATCGAGAGGTTTGGCATTGCTGTAAGTGTCGTCTCTTCAACTGCACGGACACTAACATTTTTATTCAGACGACAGGGAACCATGTTAATTTACATAAAATTGGCATAATGTATCCATTTTAAGATTGATAGTTGTACGACATCTAGTCACATGGTAACAGACTGTATTCATGGTCCAGGCCGATGTCCTTTCCCAGTTTTAACATCTTAGAGTTGAACAGTTGAATACCACTGTTGATATTGATTTTACTTGAATACCACTGTTACCTCTACTTAATAGCTGAACACCATGTTAATGTAATGTCATACTAGAATCTCACTGTTTATTGAACATCTCTGCCTAAACTTGAATGTCATAGCTACCTCTACGTGATAACCTAACTCTATAGCGGTTACATTTCTATCCGTCAAGTACTGATACTTAAATTGCACCTTATCCCACTCAATCACTTTACTCTAGTACTGAGGCACTACTCATAAGTATATACTGTGTATATAGCCTCATTTACAAACCGGAACTATGTTCACTATTGTTCCCTTAACTTATTCTACGGCTCTTCCTTTTATTATCTTTTACTCTAGTTTGCTCTCTTTTGCTTGCTTTTTTTTCTTTGTTTTGATTGGTTTATTTTAACTTCCTTACCTGTGTATTCAATTGGATACCTCTTTTTTTGCACTATCATGCTGCTCAGCTGTACGTTGAATTGCCCCTCGGGGACAAATAAAGTATTTCTGAATCTGAATCTGAATCTGAAGAGTTGTAGGATGATACGCCACTGTTCGACACCTAGTTGACCATGTTCTATTTCTGTCAACTGGAAGGGTGGACCGTACCTTCCTGAAAGTTGGGATGTCTGACTTCATTGTTCCAAACTACCAGTTATATCTCTGTATCTGAACGCCGTTAATTACAGCAGAGAAACAAACAGTCCTCCAACTCTCAGACGTAAACATTGAACCACTGACGTTGTTAAGATGGTCCTCTGTAATTCCAGGTTTTGGGAGACTACAACCGTCAGAACAAAAGTGCTGATGAGGTGCAGAAGTTCATCAAGGAGATCGAGTCGATCTCCAGTCCACCTTTGAAGGATCACTTCTTCAACGTGTCTGATGAAGTGGCCTTGTTGACTATTGTTGACGCTCTGGGCAGCAAGATTTTTGCCCTGGAAGGTAAGACATCAGTTCTTCTTTGTTCACTGCATTAGGCTGAGAGAAAGAAGCAACACACAAAAAACCCACAACTTCATAGTAAAGATGCAGTATCTGTTCCTGGCCCTGAAATGTTCATGTAATAACGTGTAGTATTTAGCCTGGGCCTATTTAGCTGAACACTGCCCTGATATACCGGCAGGAATTGAAGAAAGATACACACAGTGATCTTCTTCAACAGCTGTGTCTCTCTCATTTTTCATATCCATCTGCTGTCATAGTGAAAAAGTATTTAATTGTTCTGCCTGTTTCTGTCGCACTGACAAACAAAGACAACATTTTGCAGTAAACAATATAATAGTTTTTTGTGTGGAATTGGATCATTTCCCCTGGTACACCTGATGATCTGAAACACATTTTCATCTGTTTTTCCTATTTCATCTTTTTCTTCTTCAGCCACCAAGGGCAACTTCACGACCTCCTTTGAGATGGAGATGTCCCAAACTGGGTTCAGTGCTCATACGTCCAAGGTCAGTCTAAAGCTAACGAATGTTAGCCCAACACGACAGTCATCATGTAACATAAAATGGTTTCGCTCTTACTGTTCTGTAGTTCACAGGAAGGTTCATTCAAAATGTCCTTCAGCTTAGAGGGAACTATTAGCTTTATGTGGCTTCCTGCACGTGTTTCCCCGACATAATGAAGTAATCCAGACACAACTCAGCAGCCTTATCTCTGCTACACCCTGGTCCACTGCAGTCTGGTGAAGGTCCAACACAAACTCACAAAACGTCTTGTACATTGTGTCTTATTGTCCAAGAAGTAAAATAAAGGGAGGAAGGCATCACCAAGACGAGCTTTAGACAAAAACAAAATCACCCAAGTCTGTGACTCGAGTTCATTCAACGTCTTTTAAACCTTTGACACATCTCCAGTTTTCACTCATTGGACATTTTCTCTGTTTACTCAAAGACAAACATGTCCTGTTCCTGCTCCTGACTCACCTTCTTCACCTTTAGCCCCCGTGTCTGTGACTCCATCGTCTCCACCAGCTCACACTGAATGAATGTGAACAATCATGGTCTACTGTAGAAGCAGACACTGGAGGAAGAGAAGCACTCGATGCCTTTTAAATTACGCTCCGTGTCATGTCCTGTGTGACCCCTCCCCTTCCTTACACATAACTCTGTTTCCTGTTTAAAAAAATGCCACTGAACCTTACAAATATTTATGATTTCTCGCTGATGACACCAGCGGGTGTAGGAGTTATGTCTGCTCGTATATTTTAGGAAAGGCTATGAAAAAAAAAGATTTTTACCTTTTGTGGAAATGTTCACTTGGACTGAACAGAATCTTAAAGGGGAAAATATGATACATGTACATTTCAGGATGGGTAACAGCATACTACTGTTAGTAGTATACAAAAAACAAAAAATAATTAATATAAGCTAATAATGGCAACAAAATGTTATAGCTGCCACACAACCATAAATGTCTTAAAAAACATCTTTTATTTGTTTCTCTTGTGCTAGTCTTGCTGCACTTTAGTCATCTGTCATTTGTTTCTAAAACCACTTATCTAGCATATAGCGTATTGTTAGCGTGTAGCCGTCTTCTTGTGCCACGTTTTTACCAATTTTGCTGCGGGAGGTGAAAAGTTTGTCACATATTACAATCGTTTGCCAAATAAGTCCATTTTGGCTCAGGGTTTTAAACTGTTTTTTGGCGTAAATGTTGTGCTTTTCAGCTAGCTTCTGCTAGCATAGCTTTATGGTGGAGTACTACCAAAAACACCAGAGACCTTGAATAAATCCAGGAACCTGTTTCATGAGCCTAATATACAATCAATGAAGTACCTACTGACCCACCCACGTTTTATGTTTCTGAATCAGGATTAGTGTCAACTTTGAACCAAGACTTGACGGAAAACCTGAAAAAAAAAAATTAGAATAGATTATAATTTTATTAGTATATAATTATAATTTTACATTTTTCTTACTTCTCAAACCTGGAAGAACATTTGAAAGGATCTCACTCTTATTCCTTAGAGGCAAAAAGCACCGGGACTTGGTGTAAAAAAAAAAAAAAAAAACATCCCCCAGAATTCCACAAAGCAGGAATTCACCCTAATTGCTGAACTTAAACGGAGAAGAAGTAAAGAATAGCTTTGTAGTTTTATAAGTTGAGATTTTTATTTCCCAGTCAGTCTCCAACACTTTCAGACTTACCCTGGTATTCTTTGAACTGCAAATCGGTTTGCCTAAGAACCGGCAAACAAATAAAACCCATGGTTACAGACAGTGAGTGTTTTCATCACAGTGAGTGAAGTGTGTCCCAAAGCTGAAGGCTGTTATTTCAGCTCACACTATGATTAAGTGAAGTTTGTTCACCGTGTGACTGAGGGAAGTGACTTGTTCCAGAAGAATCACTTGATTCCTTCTGGAACTGTTTAAGAATTGAGAAGAGATTAAGTAAAACTTTCGTCATACCTTTTCTGTTTCCATCATTGCTTCTCACTGATCACTGATAGATTGTCTTAATATAAATCTGATGTGGTGTCTCCTGCAGGATGGTGTCATACTGGGGGCTGTGGGTGCGTATGATTGGAACGGCACGGTGGTGATGTATACTGGGAAAGAAACTATTGTTCCAGAGAATAACCAGTTTTATGACCCGAAGACTGAAGCTGGATATGAAAGGCTGGCTGGATATCTAGGTGAGTTGATATTATTACTATTACTACCACTAATACTACTAGTAGTAGTACTACTACTACTACTACTAGTACTACTACTACTACATTTATACATTTAGGCTAATACTACTACTAGTACTACTACTACATTTATACATACTTTACTTTTTTACATACTTTTATCCAAAGCGACTTACAGAGGAGGATTAACATTATCAAGCATGTGGTTCCTCTGGGAATCGAACCTAGGACTCTCTGCTCTGTCTGCTTACGATTTAGCTTCAATATTATTATTGTTAATAATATTAATTATTATAACAATTTATTTGTAATATTATGGCATGTTGACTTTTTTATCCAAGCTCAAAGGCCCTTTGTTGACGAATGGACGTCTTAATAGTTCCAGCGTTTCCCATCTGTCATCAGGATGTCAGATTATTTAGCTCATTTCCTCTTACATCATCACTCGAATCACCGAACGATAAAAGCAAAGGGCAGCAGCTGTAAAAGTTGACATTATAAACAGCGATCCGTGATCAAGCCTCATTCCAGATCAGTGCTACTTCTCTACAAAACTGAAACAAATGCTTCTGCAGTGTCTGAAGACTGAACGCAGGGAGTACAAGCAACATTTAACAGCTGCGGGACAAAGTTAGTCTCTGTTGAAGGATCCAGATATGTCATTTGTAAACAGTGAGCAGCAGATGTCATATCAATAATATAAACACAGACTCTTCTCTCTGTCCTGATGCCTTTTATGGCTCACAGAGCATCCTGATGTCAAGTTATTTAATCAACATGTCATTTGTTGCCGCGCTGCTAGCTCCAGGCCCATGTACTGTAAACTGTTGGCATACGATCGTTCCTAATGGTCCTGATTGCAGTGTGTGTGTCTTAATGCAAATGTCTGGTGTGTGACTGTGACAGCAGCATGTGACTTCCTGCCAGCTTCCTGTTGATTCATCCACACGTTTCCCATAAACAACAAAACAAAAATAAGTCTTTTAAAAATAGCAATTGTTTGTAATGATGTCATTAGACACAAACACGATTGACAGAATTTAGTTTTGACTTCTGTATTTTCCGTGTTAACGCCATCTTAAGGTTATGACGTTCAGTCAGCATCCACCCCTGACGGAGTCCTGTACATCGGCGGTGCCCCGCGATACAACCACACAGGTCGAGTCGTTATCTATCGCCTGAACAAAGCCAACAACATTGTGGTGACACAGATAATAAAAGGAGAGCAGGTGAGATTAGTTCAGAACATTGAGTGAATTATTTTATAACACAGTTGGGAACTGTGTTAAAGCAGCAACTCTGGTCGTTTGCTCTGATCTCATTCTGCAGATCGGCTCCTACTTTGGCAGTGTGCTGCAGACCGTGGACGTAGACGGCGACTCCTACACCGACCTCCTCCTGGTCGGAGCTCCCATGTACATGGGCTCAGAGAGAGATGAGCAGGGACAGGTCTATGTTTATAGAGCTGAGGTCAGACACAGATATGTACTTCTGAATACTGTTATATGTGTAGTATAATGGGGGGGGGGGGCATTTAAAAGTTCTTCACGTGAATTTTATCAGTCCCTCTGTGGTGTTTATTTTAGGTTTTTTTAATGTTCTTTTGGTTTTGGAAAAAGTAAACACCAGAGGATCTACGTAGCTCATTGGTTTAATATTTTTTAACAAAGTTTTTTTTTAATTCATTTTGGTTAAAAGTTTGAAGGTTTACATGACTATATTATAAGGCAAGAGTTTAACACATAGAGTTTACATTATTTAATTTGTTTGTTGACCCGATCAATAAAACCTAACACAGTTCAGACCCAGAGAAATGTGTCTGAAAAATTTAGTTATTAAAATCAGACACCTTTAAAAGATCAGATTCGTCTCAGAACTTTTTGACTCAATTAGTTTAAGGACTACTGCTGCTGCTGCTGCTGCTGCTGCTGAACACAGTGTGTCAGTGTGTCGTTTGTCATATTTGCTAATTAAACAACGCCTGGCCTATAAAAATGACTGGCAAACAGTTAGAAACATGAATTAATTCCCTCATAAAGTCCTTACTTGTTAAGTATTAGTGTTATTAACCAATCAGCAGTGACCATCTGTGGACTGAGGTGCTGCAGAGTGACGTCCTCACCCTGTGCTCTGGTGTTTTTCTTCTCTTGCCTCATTACCAGGGTGGCCACTTTAAACATGAGTTCACTTTAAAGCCCATCAACCAGTCCTGCTGCACTTCCCATTCAGCCACCTGCACTAATAAAAATGAACCATGTGGAGCCCGGTTTGGTACCGCTATCGCAGCGGTGTCAGATCTCAACCTGGACGGGTTCAATGACGTGGCCATCGGTGCACCACTGGAGAACGACCACCGCGGAGCCGTCTACATCTATCACGGAGATAAGACGTCCCTGAAGGAGAAGTTTGTGCAGGTGGGAGCAGTTGGGTTTTTTTGACACTTTTTGAGACTTGAATGAATTCAGCTGAAATTCTCTCTCTCTCTCTGCTTCCCTGTCCGTGCCCTCAGCGAATCCCTGCAGGCGGTGATGGTAAAAAGGTGAAGTTCTTCGGTCAGTCCATACATGGAGTCATGGATCTGAATGGGGATGGAATCACCGACGTGACCATAGGAGGTCTGGGGGGGGCGTCTCTGTTCTGGTGAGATGTGGCCCATCCTCAGATATAAACAGTCACTCCTTAAACTACACATTCCACTTCAGCCATTAGGGGCAGCGGTGCTTATAGCCCAGAGTCATCATCTTACATGTCTGCTTTGCATTGTCTTATATGGGTTTGGACAGCTGTGTGTGTCCCACTGGGCTTGTAGGCTTGAGACTAACAACTTCCTAATGATCTCTCTGTTAAAACCCCCGGCTTCGTACTTCTCTGCTGGAGTCCTGCCCACAGACTTCAACCCCCAAATACTTCATGGCTTCCCTTCCAGGGCAGACCCTCTCCCACAGTTTCTTCTGGCTGAGGCTCAACTGGGCTGTGTGAAAACTCCATCTCCCATGTGGCCCAGAGTTTAAATAGGATTTGGCAGCAGGCTACGGTTCTGCCTGGGCTGAAATGCGACGGTTGGGTGGAAAGGAAAGGAAAGGAAAGGTGGGGGCCGGTTTTTATGCTCCCTGTGCATCCGTTCCTTGTTCCTTCCCTAAGGAAAGTGAATAAAGGCACTTGGCCTTTACTCGCTTTTTGTCATTTGCTGTCTACACACGGCACTAAAACTTAAAACGACACATTATAAAACAGGTCTGTGACTCATGACATTGTGCGCCTGCTGTCGGAGAAACACGTGGGGTTGATTCTTTTTCGACCTGTTTCAAATGAGATCCAGAGTCAGTACAGGCTGCCACCCAGGGGTGACAAATCAGATGAAGCCATGAGGAGTCATGAGGCAGCGCATGTCGTAAGGAAACAGGAACATTATGTGCTTATCGTAAAGCAGTGGGATCACCTCAAACCCAAACTTAAAAAGTAACAAAGTTACAAGTCAAGTTAAGTCAGTTTTGTTTGTAAACAAAACACATTTGTCTAAGTCAAACGGTACAGTTGAAGGAAGAACGTTATCATTAGTGTTAGACGCAGAAGTAGTTCTGCTGAGATTATATTAGTCATGAATAACAATATGATTAATGACAGAAGTGACACTTCCACAAAAACGCAAAAAAAAAATCTGTAATTCTGCAGTTGACATTTATCAGGAACAAAAGCTGCATATTTTGATTTTACAAATTGTGTAAAGTGTGCAAATACTCAAATGCAGCGTATACTCCCATCATTGTTTGTCGAGATCAGGTATTAGTGTAGAACAAGCAGTGAATGAATCGGCATCATGTCAATGGAAAGGTCAAGGTCAAGGTCAAGCCACATATGTACTTCCTAATAAAGGAGGTTGTGTTTTGAATGTCCTAACACTCTGCTACTGTTCACAATACACTGTATACTGGTATCATCAGGTGCACTGTGGGAAAATGATCCAATTTTACTCATTTGGTCAGAAAACAATGATCCATTTACTGCAAATAATTTGTCTTTTCTCAGTACAATAGTGATGGATAGACAAATGAAATAGTCTTCCACTAGGTGGCAGTAGATGGCTATAAAAACTGAAAAAAAAGAGGAAGAGAATCAGAGCTGTTGAAGAAGATCTTTCACTGTGTCTTTCTTCAATTCCTGGGAGCAGATCAGGGTTGTGTTCGACTAAACATGCCCAGGTTTTACACTTGGTTTATATTAACTACAAAATTAAATCAAGTTTGAAAGAATCTGTTCTGTCTTTGCTCATTAACTTCAGGTCCAGAGACGTCGCAGAACTTCACGCCAACATGACCTTTGACCCTGTTAAAATAAACCTGCAGCAGTCTCAGTACCAGTGTGAGCACGGCGGACGGAAATCTGTGTGTGTGAAGGCCGAGGTGTGCTTCGTCTACAGCATCAAATCTGACAAAGCCAACGACGACTCTGACACAGGTGAGACACCGTTGGCTCTGTGTGAAGCTGTGGTGCGAATTTCGGTCCGTGTTTATCTGACGCCGCTTCTTCTTCTTCTTCTGAATCACTCACCTGCTTTTCATGTAACATTTGATGTTTTCCAGTGATCCACTACGACCTGAACCTGGATGCTCTGCGTGCCAAAGCCAGGGCATCGTTTATGAACTCAGATGATCGCAGGATTACCAAGAACTTCACCATCAAAGAAAGAGAGAGAAAGTGCATCCAGGAGACCTTCATAATGTCGGCAAGTGCTCTGATCTTCACGTGCACATGGTACCAGTTAGGGGTCGCTAAACTGAAAGAGAGCGACCCCTAAACTTTATGGCTCATTTTTAGACCTACTACTGTACAGAGAGTAGCCTGAATATCTTTGTAGTTTTTATAGAGTTCTTGACGTACGTCCGTGCAGCTTGAATTCTAGTTTTTGTCACAGATGTTCCTGGTGTGGTGATTCTGGTCCTAACATAAAACAGACGCGTTTTGATCAAAGCGAGCCGAGTCCAGCCCGCTGCTGCTCCGAGTGATAGACTATCTGCAGACACTGAGAGGAGGAGAGGGTGAAAAACGCCAGTGAAACTCAAGATAAAAGAAAGAGGCTAAAAGAGAAATGAAATGTTTTTTAACAATTTCTAATCTTTCGAAGATTTAAATAAAAAGAAGGGCCTTTGTGTAACTTAAACACTCTTTACATTTACTCTTCTTGACTTTACACAGTCTTTTAGAGTTCAACATACACCTGTCTCATTCAGTATGACACTGAAAGACGTGTGTATGAAATATTTACTCTACCTTCGCTGCTGCTAAGGATTTTTCCAATAGTCGAGAAGCAGAGGAACTAATCAGTGAAAACAGCTGTTATGGTGTGTGTGTGTGTGTGTGTGTGCCAGGCTAGAGGCCATCAGGGATCAGTGAACAAGTGCCAGACTGAAGTCACAGACTGAGGCAGAGCTAAACCAGAGCATTTTTCAGAGAACTGAAGGAAGTGAACCAAAGGAGACACAGTCCTCAACAAGTCATGTGGTTAACTCATTTGGAACATAATAAAAAAAAAAGGTGATTTAAATAATATATATATGTATATATGTATTTAATTACACAAAATATATGTTTATATATATATAATTTTATTACATTTTTACATTAGGTTTGGAACATAATTCTATATATACGCATATATATGTGTGTATATATATATATATATATATATATATACATATATACATACATATATACATATATATACATATATATGTACATATATGTATATATATATGTATATATATATACATACATATATACATATATATGTATATATATATATATATATATTTATACACATATATATGCGTATATATAGAATTATGTTCCAAACCTAATGTAAAAATGTAATAAAATTATATATATATAAACATATATTTTGGGTATATATACATATATGTATATATATATACATATATATACACGCTGGTTTACTCGCTGGTAAAAATATATTGAATTTATGCATCAGGTTTGGATATTACTCAGTACTTTATCTAAAACCTGAAGCTTAGAACATGAACATGATTCTTTAGACGGTGTAAAGAATCAGATTGTGACCTGGTCTGACAGACATCCTCCAGAGTTTTGTGATGGAAACACTGTCTTAGAACTTTTCCAACCTCACCATCTCCTTCATACAGTATGATGCACAAACATGAATGAAACTTGAATGAAATCCACTGGCTCAGCCTAATGGAAGTGAAACATCAATAGCCCACATTGCTGCATCCTGGCCACAGAGCAGCGCTCTGAATTCTTACGTAGCATATGTGGCTCTTGGACTTGTTTGAACCAACAGGTACAGTGTGTACAGCGTGTACTTCACAACCAGAGCGAAGCCTCGTGTTTGCCTCTCTCCCAGGAGCCTTTTGGGTTCAATCAGAATTTGGCACCGGCTCAGAAGGAGTCATATTTATGCCTTACAGTGTGCAGCAGCAGCAGCTCACAATACAAGCCAGACTGGAATGTGAAGCAGTTCTTTTTTCAAATGGTGTCTCCATGTAATAAAATGAGGAGGGCGGGCACACGCCCAGCTTTTTTCACTTATTCTGCTGGATGTGTCCGTTGCTCAAAGGCAATCCACTGTTTGTTATGCACTTACAATACCCAGGCAGCTGTTAGAAGGATGAGTCACAGTAATTGATGTAACTTCCTGATATTTTAGAGTACGGACCCCGAGGCCTTTAGTCTTTGTTTTATCCACCTCAGCTATATTTCACCACGTGATACATATTTTCGGTTAAGTAAAAAAATATCTTGTGCTTTTTTGAGCTTTTTTTT